GAGATATTAACTTACCCGTAAAAAACTTTCCCAGGGCCGTACGCGTTACCCGCGGGTAAGGGAAGGTTGAATTTAAATCTGCCGCGTCATCCGTTGGCGGGGACCACTGTACCAAAATTTCAGCCGGCTAGCTTTCGTGGTTCCCAAGTTGAAAGTGCGGGACAAATGTGGGACACACACACACACACAAACACACACACAGACAACTCCGTGACAATATGCGTTTTGTAACGCTGTTACCCAGCACAAAACGCATAAAAATCGGTACAGATGAAAATACAGACACACACACACAGACAATCCGTCAATATGAGTTTCTGCATTGCATAGCTGCAAAAAACGCACAATAAAAATTGCAGTCGAATAAAGTAACAATTTAAAAGATAGTGAACTGAGGAAATTCGTCCTCTTTTGTTTGCAGCGCTGATAACAGTTGTGGGAAAAAAAGAGAAAATTAAAGGTTTTTATTTCTTCTTTTATTTTTTAAATTTTTTTCAAAAGCCTACTATATAAAGCAACAAAGCAGCAAAAAATGCAATATACAATCTTGAAAAATTGAATGAACTGTCTTCATAAGTCAACATTCAAAACAAGATGGAATTTAACACGGCTCGATGACATTCCGAAACAGCTAAACTCTTGTCAACTGCTTCTGTTGCAAACGAAGCTTCTTTTTGGGAATGAATGTGGATCCGACGGAATCGAACCATTTGTCTTTACATTCAAGCGCAATGCCACTGCACCATTGGTATGTGAATCTTAATCTTGGAGCACCTCTACTGTGTATCAGTTTTTGTGGTAGCATACACCTTTCTTTTCTTCTCTGCCTCTTCTAACCCATATATAAAACTATGGTGGCCTTTTCTTTGCGGTTTTTATGGGTTTTCGTGAAAACACTGCTACTGAGCTGACGATTCTCGTAAGAGACGAAACGATCATCAGGATTATCAGTAAACTGACCACTGCTCAAAGCAGTTGGAAAGGTTGTCATCTGCATAGTTGGAAGGAAGACTGATTTAAATTGCTGTCCAAAATGAAACTTTCATGAAAGTTAACATTTTCGAAAATTGCCTTTTAAAGTGAGTGATCTGTCTACCCCTGATAACTACAGGAAGTCAGGATTTGTTGGATTCATACTTCGTTTTTCTGAGATCATTTTTCTGAGTTCCAATTTAGTACAGAACATCGGATTCCTATACGGGCTGTCTGGGTCATATTGAATTCTTGGTGTAATTCGTCATCTTAAAAAGTTGTACATGCAGAATTTGATCGTTCGCGAAAGTTATTTCTCCAGGTCTGGGCTTTTTTGCAGTGCCACAGCTTCTTTCCGGACGTGATGTATCCTAGAAAATCGCGGATCCGCACCATCAGTTCAGAAGATTTTGAACAGAGAATGTTAGAGACTTTGAGGCGATGCCCAGGTTTTCAAAGATTCTAGATAGGGATGTCTTCGCTTATTGTTCGAATCCGTTCCACAATCGGTTGGCTCACTGTTCGAATCCGCCTCACAGGTTGCTGTGCAGGATACTGTACAGACTTCTGACGAAGCAGCTTTCGCCGAATTGACCGATTCAGATCTGCAAGAACTGGTGTTGAAAATTTTTGAAAAATATAAAATAATATAAAATAATAATATAAAAATAATAATATAAAATAATAATATAAAA